ACGCACGCACGCACGCTCGCACGCACGCACGCACGCACGCACGCACGCACACACACACACACACACACACACACACACACACGCACGCACGCACACACACACACACACACACACACACACACACACACACACACACACACACACACACACACACACACACACACACACACCCACCCACGCACGCACGCACGCACGCACGCACGCACGCACGCACGCACGCACGCACGCACGCACGCACGCACGCACGCACGCACGCACGCACGCACGCACGCACGCACGCACGCACGCACACACACACACACACACACGCACACACACACACACGCACACACACGCACACACACGCACACACACACACACCAACACACACACCAACACACACACACACACACACGCCACAGCGGCCTGGAGGCCGGTCCAAGAGTGGGCGGCGCGATGGCGCCTCGCCGCGGGCAGGCGGAAAACGCAGTCCTCGTTCGCCAACGCGTGGGGCAACACGTGCCGAGCTACCACGCAGCGTGTCAACACAAACGTTTCGAGCACGGGGCGTGTTGCGTCTCGAAGCGGGCGTGTCGATGCAGCTAGGAGCAACATAGCCCGTGCCGTCCTGAGCTGTTCATGGCGCGAGCGGGTCTGGGGATGGGAGGGGAGGCAGCAAACCTGCCCGCACCCTCGTGCCCTCCCAGACCCCCCATTTTTTGGCGTGGCCGCGCCGATGTTTTGGTCGCGCTGCCATGGCTTGAGGCAATCACACGCCAATGCTGTGACTGCCTACCAGACCACCCTAACCCAACCTGGAGACCCGAATTTCGGGTTGGGGGAGGGGGGTATGGGTTCCACCTGTGTTTTTTCAATGTTCTCCGACGTCCCCCCCCTCAACTGGGAATGGAGGGCAACTTGGGGCCTTCGGGTTGGGTTGGGGTGGTTTGGTGGCTCGCGATGTTGGCGGGCATGCATGTCGCCTCTCTCGGGAGCCCTCGGGGTGGAACCTCGAGGCCGACAACCTCGAACCTCGGAGTCGAAGACCTTCAGGAAGATGCGAGAGCGTCCGAACACTTCGAACCTCGAACGGTTTTTTCGAGGCGCCGGATCGCAGAGACGACGGACGCCGACGACGACGGTTACGACCGACGCCGACGACGACGCCGACGCCGACGACGACGTAAGCCGACGACGTACGCCGACGACGACGACAACGACAACGACGCGACGCCGACGACGACGACGCCGACGCCGACGATGACTCATGACCGACGACAACGTACGCGGACGATGACCGACGGACGTCGTGGACGGTGCCGACACCAGCCGACAGCGACGGCCACGCCTCCCAGCGCCTGTCCTCGATACGCTGGCGCCTGTGACGTCCCCGCCCCGAGAAGCGGAGGGGAGGGGAGGCGTCGAGCGATGTGGATGAAGGGCACGATGGGCAAACGTTGACTCTGCTGCTGGCCTCGAATCGGCGGCGAGTGAGGGGGGGGAGTGAGAAGGAGAAGGCCTTCTGAGAAGGCTGCGGGACTTCTCAGAAGCCCTCTGGCCTTCTGGGATTTTTGTGTCTTCGGGGACGGCTCAGAAAACCTCTCAGAGGCCAGGGAACTTCCGAGCCGTATGAGAAGGCCCGCCCCCTCTCACTTCCCCCCCTCGCTCGCCACCGATCGAAGACGAGAATGAAGACGCCGACGGTTTCCGGGTCATAGCTCGGGCCATCCAGCGGCCGTTCGGGATGGGGTCGGACGCTTCTGCTCAGCGTGCCGCGGCGGCGGCCTTGCCGACACGCTGTGCCCTGTAAGCGGACAGCGTGTCGCTCCGCTCCGCGGAACTGGAAGCTCGGACAAACCCAGGGCGTTGGCGCCTTGGGACCGCGAAGCGAATACCGTGTCGCACCGAGGCGCGGTGGGCCCAAACCAGGAGAGCGACACGCTGTCCAGAAATTCCCAACCGTAACTCGGGCCTCCGACGGCCGTTGGGGATAGTCCAGGGGCGAGATCGCCCCGAGGGTGGAAAACCGCCGAGAACCGACGAAATCGCCCGACAATCTCGAACCCAACATTTTCTTCAGAGGTCTGGACCCTTTCCCAATGACTCTGGCCTTTCATCCTGAGTCGTTCCTTGACAATTCCGAAGCCCGGTAAGAGCCCCCAGAACCTTCCGTCGTGATTTTTGCACGAAGCGAAAGCGCCCGAAAGCCGCCGAAAACCGCCGACGCCGACTTCTGCGAGCGGATAATGTGTCGCTCCGCTCCACAGGGCAAGGGGATGGGAAAGGCTCGAGACAGTGACGTTCGGGGATCTGGGCGTGGATATCGTGCCTGAGGGGCAGCGATAGGGGGAACCGGCATAGGGGGAGAAACATCGACCTGGAATCGGCGATACATCGCCGATAGATCGGCGATAGGCCCCCGACAGTGAATCCGCACGTTCCTGGGCAGGTTGGGGCCAATATCAGGCCCTCATCGGCGATCAATATGGGCGATTGGGGGTCGATGCATACTCAACCTCTATGCCTATCCCCCCCCCCTACCGTTGCCCCTGAATAGCGTGTCGGGCCGCAGCGCGGTAGACTGAGCTGGCGGAACGACACCCTACTGTCGGACCTAGGCCAGGCCAGAAGAACATCCCTCAAGAATATGCGACCCTCCGCCGGCCAAACCACACCGAACATCCAAGGGTACCCTCACCAGGATGCACAAGGACATCCAACAGGCACGAAGAACATTCGGGTAACCTCCCCGCACCGACCTCGGTCGCAGGCTCCCGTGAGCTGCTACCTACGCCGACTCGGGTCTGGGCCTCGTGGACCTGGCTTAGTGATGCGCACTGGGGGGCGTCCCCCGAAGGCGAAGCCAGGACGAGGATAACATCGGGCACGGATCAATTGAGAAACTCTGAGATCCGGCGGATCTGGGGTTGTATCGGGCGCCGCGGCCTTCTCAGAGCGTTCCTGAACGCTCTGGAACGGGTTTATCCTCGTCCTAGCCCCGCCCGATCCCCCGCTGTATTCCACTAACCGGAGCTGCCGCCACCCGAAGAAGCACCAGCTACGGCAGACCTGGTTCGGTGATCCTGGCATTTTTGTTTTGGCTTCGGGGCCCTATCACCCAATCACGAGCCCGCACTCTGACCCAGGGTCCTAGCTATACCCGGATACGGCAGGCTCGTGTCGTGCCGACTTCGGCGTTGGTTTCTGACACCGCGGGGATCGCTCAACCTAGAGCGATCGGCCGTCTCCTCAACGTCAGATCGTTCACCATCGACCGATTCTGGTCCGCCGCTGGCGTTCAACGTTGAACGCCGGCGGCAGGGTCGCCGCCGGTCGACACGACGTGAACTCACCGTAGGCGAGAGGCCATGATGGCCTTTGGTGCGCAGCCTGTGGACCTCTGCCCGCGCTGCGACGGTCGCGGCCTGCGTGCCTGGGGTTGGCCCCGCCGCGCCCCCCGAACGCCGTGCGCCCAAAAGTCACTCCGGCGCCCGCCCAAGGCTCGCGCGAAGGCGAAGCCGACGACAGCGTACGCCGACGACGACAGCGTACGACGACGACGACAACGACCACGACGACGACGACGCCGACGATGCCGACGATGCCGACGCCGACGCCGACGCCGCCGACGCTGCCGACGCCGCCGCCGACGACGACGACGACGACGACGACCGACGACGACGATGACGACGACGACGACGACCGGAGCCGACGACGACCGACGACGCCGACGGACGCCGACGGCAGCGGGCGCCCCGCGGCGGCGGCGGTGCAAAAGCAGCGGGCTGCTCCCCGGAGGGCTCGGCTGGTGTCCGCGGCTCGGGCTCGGCCGCGTGCTCCGCGGCCTCCACGCGGGGCGGCCAGGCCGTCGGTCGCCGCGGGCGGACGTCGCCGCCGTGAGTCCGTCCGCCCGTCGCTGATCAGAGCCCCGAGTCATCAGGGCTGGTCGGGTGTTGCTAGAAGTACCCCTGGCCCAAGGTATCCCCAGGATTCTCGGGGTGGCCCAGACGGCCTCCAGGGCACCCCTCGCGAGGCCCAGAGGGCCCCAGGGGCTCCGAAACAGAGCGAAAAGCTGGGGGCACCTTGGGCCAGGGGCACTTTTTGTACCACCCGAGCTGGGGGTGCTCGGGGGTAGCGGGCGGGCGCGGCATCATGCCGATGTCGGCAACGGCAGACGCGATGATGATCATTGCAGCGATGCTGGCGACGACGATGGCGATGACGACGGCAAGGCAGATGACGGCGCTAATGCTGATCACGCCGATGACGATGATGGTGTCTGAATTCGTGTCTCGAGGGCCGAAACCCGAGCTACCCCGGACTGGAGTTATCCCCGATCATTCGGGCGTGCAGCCACTTTCGAGTCATCGGGGTGGTCAAGAGTAACTCCTGGTTCGTGCGTCTTGGGCTCAATCCAGAATTTATTTCTCTGGACCCGAGTTATCCAAAATAACTCTGGAGTCCAAGGACGACGGTCGTCGGTGGCTGCCAATCCGTCGGTAGTCGTTCGTTGTCTTCGATCGTCGTCGTCGTCGGTCGTCTGCTGTCGTCGACGGTCGTCGGTCGTCTTCGTTGATCGTCGTCGGTCGTCGTCGTCGTCGTCGTCGTCGTCGTCGTCGCGGTGGTCGTCGTCGTCGTCGTCGTCGTCGTCGTCGTCGTCGTCCACGTCGTCGTCGTCGTCGGCGGCGGCGGCAGCGTCGTCGTCCTCGTCGTCGTCCTCGTCGTCGTCGTCGTCCTCTTGCGCACCTCTGCCTCCTTCCTTCCTCCTTCCGTCCCTCCCCCTCCAAGATGAGGAGAAAGGAGGAGGGGGAAGAAGACGGAACGCCCCCTCCTCCCCCACTTCTGCCTCTGATTGTGCTGGCGGCCGCAGTGCACCTTCACCTCCTCCTCCTCGTCCTCCTCCTCCTCGTCCTCCTCCTGCTGCCTCATCCTGATGCCTTCTCTTGCTAATTCCTCCTACCGCCTCCTCCTTCTCCCTCTCCTCCTCCTCCTCCTCCTCCTCCTCCTCCTCCTCCTCCTCCTCCTCCTCCTCCTCCTCCTGCGCTCCCCCTTCCTCCACCGTCCCCCCCTCCCTTACCTCCTTCTCTCCCCCCTTCCCCCCTTCTCCTCCTCGCCCGCTCCTCCCGCTCCCCCTCTCGCCCTCCCCCCCTCCCCCCGCCTCCCTGCCTCCTCCCTCGTCTCCCGCGGCGTCGCCCTCCTCTCTCGCCCCTGCCGAGGGCCCACCCTCGGTGGCATCTCATGGGGGCCTCCCATGCCATCAGGCTGCCTCGAGCGAATCGACGCTAATAGACGCCAATCGACGCTAGTCTTAGGTCGGGCCTGTCCCCCTACACGGGGATTTTGGGCGAAAAATAAAACATAGTCAAACCATATTTCAAACATATTCAAAAATGGTCAGAAAATAGTCCCCGACTATTTCTTGTTATTTCTGAATATTCCTCCTGTAGAGGGACAGGCCCGACTTAACGCTAGTCGACGCTCTTCGAAGCTTGATCGGCACTTTCTCATAGATTGCCAGACGCCAGCGCACGCCAGTGCACTCTAGAGATGGGGCCCTGAGGGCACACAAGGCTCCCATGACTTGCTCCTGAATATCCTGCGGGGAGGCGGTGGAGCTCGGGGCAAGATCAGGAAGCATCGACCCAAGGAGCTCGGATCAGATCGGACTGTGCGTCGGATCAAGCCACATCGGCACAGAGTCGGAATCGAACCAGGTCGGCCGCGACGCAATGCGCAGCATCGCCATGCTAACATCGGGCCGCATCGCATCGTCGGAATGCCGGGATCGAATCGGATCGGGACGGCCAGAATCGAGTTCGAGTCGTATCGATCGGATCGACATGGACCCTGCGAGGTGTGTCGATGACCTGGCCCGTCGTCGGGCCCGCGAGGGTACGTCCGACACGCTCCTCCCAGAGCCTTTCTGCGAAAACAGACCTCAAACGGGTGGTCGCTCTCGTATTCCCGTTCCGTTGACTGTGCTTTAAGCACGGTCAGCGGAACGGGAATACGCGGAGTTACGGCCGGATGCGGTCAGGAATTTTTGCTTAGCGTGTCGCGGCGGCGACCTCTGCGACACGCTGTGCAGTGCAAGCCGCCAGCGTGCCGCTCTACTTTGTGGGGCGGGAGCCTGGACAAAGCTCGGAACGTCGATGTTCGGGGGACTGGGACGTGCTCAGCGCACAACGCGCCGAAGCAGCGGTGGGCCAGAACCGGCCCTAGCGGCGCGACGCGCAAGCAGTTGCTCCCGACAGAAGTCCTCCCTCGCCACTTCCCCTCAATTCGGGGATGGACAGAACCACCTTTAGCACAACGTTGTTCAGTGAAAACGACCTCGGGCTCAAAACCCGGCGGGCGCGAGCCTGGGAAATGACCGCCGCGGCGCCCTCTCGAGAACCGAAAACGGACACTTCACGACTCGACGTGTCGGGGGTGGGGGCTCTGTCCACCCCCGATACTCCCCTCGATCAGGTCGCCCCTGCCCCGGCTGATCGCCGTGCTCCCCTCGGCGGCGCGCCCAGGGCGGAAGCGAATGGCGGCAGGCCTTCTCACAGGGCGGCGGGGCTTCGGAGAGGGCGCCCTCCCAGCCTTCCGAGAAGAGCCGGCTGCACGTACAGTCGGGGCGTTGACCTAAGGAACCCTAAATAAGGAACGAGGCCCCTTTTTTACATAAGTTAAACTTCGATTTCCCATCGAAAACACCAGGAAAACCTGAGGCAAGCTGTGAAACAATCAAGGAATACCGAGCCCCTCCCCAACGAAAAGGGTTCCTTCTTCAGCGCCCCGACTGTAGGAGTGGCCCCAGGTAAAGAGTGACCTTCGGTGCGCGGCTTTCTGGGGGCCGCGGGGGGGGAGGGCGAACCTGGGCGCGCAAGCCGCTGCCACCGCTTCGCGTTCAGCGACCGGGGGGCCCCGTGGGATACAGATACAGCCTGCGTGCCGGCTCGGGAGGAGCGGCCCCTCCAAGGGACAGGTGGCGAGAAAGGACAGCGAAACGCGCCTGGGTGAAATCGTCAGTGCCGATCGCTCACATCTGGTAGAAGACGTCCTCCTCCTCCTCCTCCTCCTCCTCCTCCTCGTCCTCCTCCCCCCCCTCCTCGTCAATCCTCCTCGCTCCTTTTCCTTATATGCAACTTCTCCGTGTCGCGCCCCGAGGCCCGACGAGAGGGCGCACCGGGCGTTTCGCTTCAGTCTTCCTCACCATGTATAACCCTGAAGCTAAGAAACAGTTTCACAGATGGGGGGCGGGTGGTTTTCACAATCTGGTTCTCGCCCAAGCGCCGCGCACATTCGTTCAAACATTTTCAAGAGTTTCGCGGATTGAAGGCGGTTCCTTCACATCGCTCTCGCCCGAGCGCCACGCACATTCAGCATAACAATTTGGAAAGCGTTTCACGGATTAAGGGCGGTTCCTTTTCATTCAAAATGTGGCTCTCGCTTCAGCGCCGCGCGCATTCGTCTCAAACATTTGCCAGAGCTTCACGGGTTAAGGGCGGCTCCTTTCAGAATGTAGCTCTCGCCATAGCGCCGCGCACACTCGTCTTCAACATTGGCAAGAGTTGGTACGTATTTCCAGCATTAACATACCAGAATTTTCGGATCGGAAGGAATCAAATTTGTGAGGGCGCAACTGTTACGTTGATTCGCGGTGTCGAAGTCCCAGGGACGGTGTTCTGGCATAGTTCAGGATCGTCAGGGCGCAACAATCAAGTTAATTCGTGGCGTTTTGGGTCCCAGAAATGATGTCTTCTTACGCTTCAGGGTCGTCAAACGTGTGTCTCCCAACGAGGCAGTTCCCTCTGTGGAATTGAACCCTTGTTGGGGCCTATGAGGGAGCTTGGAAGGAGGGTTGATTCCAACATCGTTGATGAGTCTTGGGTTTACAGTGGTCCTCCCTCCCTCCCTCCCTCCTCCCTCCCTCCTCCTCCTCCTCCTAATCCTCCTCCTCCTCATCTTCCTCCGTCCCCGTCGGCTCGCGCCGCGGCCTGGATACCCGTCGAGCAACGAGGAGCGGCCGAGGGCTTGTCCATCCTCGACATGTGCATGAAAGCCTCGGGCATGCAGGGCGCGCGCTGGAGGAATGCCCGCGGGCATGGATCACACCGAGCAGTCCCGAGGCCCGACGCGGGGTGTGCGCTTCCTGCTGGAGCCAACCCGGCGATGTCTCCCTTGGCAGACGAGGACGCTCGTCGTCGATCAGGGGCAGCGTAAGGGGGTCACGTTCCCCAACTTGTTCGAGAATGTTTGGGGCCCGAGGTCGTGCCGGGGCCGCCCAGTTCGTCCCGAACGGCCGCCAGAGGCCGGAATCGTGACCCGAAAACCACCATGCGTCGACATGCCTCAGTCGGCCGTCTGTTGCGAGGGTCAGCGGGTACACGAGGAAGGAGGGATCATGAGGAGGGGGGAGACGAAGGGCCGAGCGCCAGCTAGGCAAACTCGTGACCTTACATGACGTAAGCACAAAACACCAAGGAGTCTGGCACTTTTCAGCGTCTGGTGGCCCTTGCTGGGCCCAGGAGGGGCAACAACGTCTCAGGATGAGATGCCTGCGCTGGGAAGGGGTCGACACGTATGTGTATATATAGATATACACACATGTACACACAGATGTATATATATATATATATATATATATATATAAAGATATACTAGAACCATCGCGCGCGTTTCGCGCGCGCTCAAGTTCTAGCTAGCTTCTTGGGGCCTTCTCGGAGCATCCTGGACTGCTTCTTGAAGTCGTCATGGGACCTTCTTGGCATGTCTTCGGGGGCCTCTTAGAAAGAATTTTGAAGCCTTTTGGGTGCCGTCTTGGGGCCTCTTGGAGCCTCTTTCGGGCTTCTTGGGGGCCTCTTGGGGCCTCTTGGGGGCCTCTTGGGGGCTTCCTGGGGGCATCTTGGGGCCTCTTGGGGGCATCTTGGGGCGGAGAGCTTGATTTTTCAGTTCGCGTTCCCTCTCCTGGGCCCCTCTTGGGGCCTTCTTGGGACCCTCTTGCGCCGACTTGGGCGGCTCTGGGGCCGTCTCGGGGCTCTCTTGGACCGTCTTGGGGGCCTCTTGGGCCGTCTCGGGGCGGTTTTGGGAGTCTCTTGGGCGGTGCTTTAGCGCCAGAAGCACGAAGCAGCGAGAATACAAAAAACATGAACAAAAACAATGTAAATCAACGATTTTGCCCTCTCGGGGCGCTCTTGGGCGACATCTTGAAAGCCTCTTGGGGCGTCTTGGGGGCCTCCGGGGCAATTTAAGACGCATCGTGCGTCGCCGCAGGCCCCTGGACGGCGTCTGGGGGGTGTCTCGAGACCGCCTGGGGCCGCCGGGATTGCTGTATGAGGGCTCCCCGGGGCGATTTCAAGCCTCCCAGAGGCGGGCCTGGGCCCCCACAGTTGTGGTCGAGGTTCCAGCCCTCGGCCCCCGAGCCCGGTGCGCCGTGTTATTTATATGTATGTATGTATATATATATATATATATTTATGTATATATACACACGTACACACACATATATATATATATATATATATATATATGTAGGTAATTGTGTATATATATATGTGTATATATATATATATATATATATAGACTGCCAAATGCCGCCTAACCAATCGCAGCGCCACCAGACTCCCACCAACGCCAGAGATCCAAGGATACCAGGGACCCTATATTACCGGCAATGGGGGTACAGGCGGAGCGGGCGAGAGCCCTTCCGAGAACACGCGCGAGGACCACCGAAGGAAGGCACTTTTTCCCACGGCCACAGCATGATCCTGGGGGTCACCTGACCTCCATGAAATCATATCGAGGCAGCGGGGCGCTTGATGACCCGATGCTCTGTGCCCAAACTGCGAGAAACATTTTTGGAGCGGTTTATTTGGAGGGCGGGTTGGGTTGGGATCTTGAAAATACTTCAAGATACTTGAGCTGAACCGGGGGCGCATCTGCCTAACACGTCGGAGCTGAGACTGCGTGAGCAAGCTGCGACTGCGTAACACCCCTGCTGGTTTAGAATACCTCTTGACCGAATTAGCTGTCAACCGTCTACCTCTTTGCGAATCGAAATTCTGATACTTTGAAAACCAACTGTCCTGATAGGGGCGGCCATGGCGCCGGGAATGGGGAGTCAGAAGAAGGGCATCTGAGAAGTGCCGCCTGCGAAGCCCTCCATCTGCTGAGGGAGAGACGAAACAGAGGCCCTGTCAGACGGTGGCGACAAAAGGGAGAAAGCAGGTGGCTCACCCACGCTCGGTCGTGGGAACCGGCCACCACGGAGGCGTCGAAGACCCGGCTCTTGACTGGCAGCGCTCCAGTCGCAGGCGCAACCGTGACGATGGTGTCCGGGCATCCTGTCCGCGACAGGGTGATGCCGTTGGCCGTCAGCGCGAGCACCTCGCTGGGCCAGAGGTGGCAGTCGAAGGCGACCCACACCGCTGCTTCGACCTCCTGGCCCTCGTCCCCGTTCTCGCTGTCAATGAAGAGTCAGCCAGCCGTCGCCAGAATCAGAAAGTCGTCGCTGAGAGGGTCCCGAGGCCGCTCGGATGAGGCCCTGAGAAAACCTGCGAGTGCTGCCTTAGCCAACTGGAGAGTGGTGCTCGCCCGCGGCGGCAGCCCAAGCGCGTGGGCCGAGCCGTAGATAGCGCAGCGGCCAGGTGATGGGGTTGTCCCCGTTCAAGATGAGGCTGTCCAGGAAGCGGTCGAAGGTCTTGTCTCAGTCGTCAGGCGTGGCGGGCTGCATCCCTCGGCCTTTCGCTCACAGAAGCCGGCCCGGCGTGCGCGGCGGTGTAGGCGCGGGCAGTGGCGGGGCGTGCCGACGCCCGCCGGAAGCTCCCTTCACCCCCGCCGTCGGCCTCAGCGCGGTAATTAAGCGGCGCGTCGCCGGCGCCCGCCCCGCTTCGCGGCGAGCCCGACGATGGGCGGCGGCTTCGGATGCCTCGGCGCGCCACGGCTCCCCGCCCCAGAAGCTGATGGCCCCCTCCCAGCCGGGGGGGCAGAGCCGTGGGAGCGGTGGGGGGACCACGGGTCGAACGGCGCCGACGTCCTGCCTCGCCGCGGCTGCCAGACGTCGCTCTCGGTCGATAGCGACGCGCGGATCGCGTTGCTCCCGCAACCCCCTGCCGCGGGGCGGCGTCGCGCAGCAGCCCATCAAGAGCGCGCGCCAGCTCAGGGGGATAAGCCGAAGCGAAGGAAGTCCTCCAGGCGGCTGGGCGGATCGGCAGCCTGACCTTGCCTTGAGGCCGTGCACGAGGCGCGCCCAGGCACGGGCGCTGCCTGTCGAAGACGTTGCTGGCGGGCACCGTCGCGTAGAGTAGATGATGGTGGGTTTCTTCCACGGCGCCCCGAAGGCGCACATGTCAAAGAGGCATCGTCGCGCCGCTGGCCGGCGGAGCAGCCTCGCAACTCGTGGGACCTCGAAGAACCGCGAGCGGGCATGGTTCTCGAGAAGTGCGTGCATGTCGCTCTTGAGACAGAGCTGCAGGACGCGCACCGTGAAGAGCACGCAGCGCCACGACCTGGGCGTCGAGGTTCCGGTCGACCTCGCAGGCGTCCAGGCCGTGGTGTTCCTAGCGTCGCGCACCAGATGAAGCCCTGCCGCGACGCGGCGATCCACCACATCGCGGTGAACGCCCAGAGCCACGTCCACCAGGGAGGCGACTCGTAGCCCTGCCTCGGCCGCGGCGGCGCAGCAAAGAGCAGGCAGGCCTCTCGCTGGAGAGGTGGACCCTGCGGAGCGGGGGCGCTGGCCTGGATCGCCCGGCGCCCGCCCGCCTGGGGCTCCTCTGGCTCGGCTGGGGCGCGGCCTTGGGCGTCTCGGCTGCGGCGCGGCGTGGGGGAGGAGGAGGAGGAGGAGGAGGAGGAGGAGGAGGAGGAGGAGGAGGAGGAGGAGGAGGAGGAGGAGGGAGGAGGGAGGAGGAGGGAGGGAGGAGGAGGAGGAGGAGGAGGAGGAGGAGGAGGAGGAGGAGGAGGAGGAGGAGGGAGGGAGGAGGAGGAGGAGGAGGAGAGGAGGAGGAGGAGGAGGAGGAGGAGGGGGAGGAGGAGGAGGAGGAGGAGGAGGAGGAGGAGGAGAAGGAGGAGGAGGAGGAGGAGGAGGAGGAGGAGGAATCTCTCGCGCTCCCCCCTTGTCACCCTCAGCTCGGGACGCCCGTCACCAGGCTTGGTCGCGGCGGACCGGGGGCGCGGCGGAGCCCAGGGCCCGTCGGGCTCGATGTCCGGGTCCCCGTCGGAGCTGCCGCTGCTGCCGGGGTCAGGGGCCCCGTCCGCTGGGCGAAGGCGACCCTCCCCAACCACTCCGCGCGACGGCCCCGCGGCGGCGGCCAGGGGCAGGCCGCGGAGGGCTCGCCCGGCCAGACGCTGCCCCTGCCCGAGCCAGCCATGGTGGGCCGGCCGCGAGTCTGCGTTCGAAGGGTTCCTGGAGGTCTGCGCCGATGTCAGATGACGCCTGCAGCCCGCTGGCATGCTGCAGCACACCGCGCTTGCCCCAGTAGCTCGCGATCTCGGGCCCGTCCACGGTCGGAGGCCAGCGATTTCGAGAGGTTGTCGCCAGAGGAGACGAGGTGCTTGCTGCGCGCGATGCGCTCCGTCTCGCGGGTGAGCCCCAGCCGCGCCGCCCGCGTCTCCTTGCAGTGGATGGCGGCCGCGCGCTTCCAGCGCCTCACCACCTGGCGGCGCCAGCGGCGCGGGTCAGCAAACGCATCTGGCACCCGAGGCGCCGGGGCCCCTTCGGCAGCCTGGGGGCCCTCTTGGGCCGCCTTTGGGCCCTCTTGGGGGCCTCGTGAGCCGTCTTGGGGGCCCCTGGGGCTGTCTTGGAGCGTCGGAAGCCCAACCATCCTCATCCTCATCCTGCAAACTCCGGAAGACGTGAGAGCGTCGGAAGCCTGGAGATCCCCACCACCCTCCTGCTAACTACGAAAGAGGCTGGAGCGTCGGAAGCCCCGAACTCCTCATCATCCACATGCGAGCTCCAGAAGAGGCAAGAGCGTCGGAAGCTCCCGCAAGCTCCGGACGAGAGGTTGGAGCGTCGGAAGCCCGAACATCCTCATCGTATGATCTTCCTGCAAGCTCCGGGAGCAGTTGCCCCCCCCAACCCTCCCCCGTTCGGCCTCGCTGATCAGCACGTCCAGCCCCCCGAGCCCGATGCGGGCCACCGGCGGCCGGAGGAAGAACTCCATCAGGGCGTCGAACTCGGCCTCGGGGGAGCCGCAGGGGCGCCGCGGGGACGCCGCGAGGGCGCCGCGGGCTCGCGCGGGCATGTCGTCGTCGTCGTCGTCGTCGTCGTCGTCGTCGTCGTCGTCGTCGTCGTCGTCGCCACCGCCGCCGCCGCCGCCGCCGCCGCCGCCGCCGCCGCCGGCTCCTCGCAGTCGCCATTTGGTGCCGAGGGCAGGCGAGGAGGCGAGGTGGATGGGGGGGAGGACGGGGATGGGGGGGAGCAGGAATGGGAGGAGGAGATGGAGGGGGTGGGAGGCGGAGGCGGAGGAGGCGGAGGAGGGGGAGGAGGAGGAGGGGGAGGAGGAGAAAGATGATGATGATGCTGATGATGATGATGATGATGATGATGATGATGATGATGATGATGATGATGATGATGAGGATGAGGAGGAGGAGGAGGAGGAGGAGGAGGAGGAGGAGCGGGAGGAAGAGAAGGAGGGGTGGGACGAGGAGGAGGAGGAGGGAAAACCAGAAGGGGAGGGGCAGCAGGAAGATGGAGAGCAATGGTAAGAGAAAGAGGTCGTTGCCGTCGTCCTCGCTCTCGCCTGCGTCCTCCTCTTTGTCCTCCCCCTCTTCTTTTTCCTTCCCCCTGCCTCACCCTCACGTCGTCGTCGTCGTCGTCGTCGTCGTCGTCGTCGTCGTCGTCCTCGTTCGTGACCTCGTCCTCGTCCTCGTCCTCGTAATCGTCCTGGTCCTTGACCTCGTCCTTCTCCTCGTCCTCGTCCTCGTCCTTGTCCTCATTCTTGTCCTCATCGTCGTCCTCGTCCTCGTCGTCTCTATCCCCCTCCTCCTCCTCCTTCTCCTTCTCCTCTTCTTGTGTGCGTGGAGTGGCACATGAAAGGTCAGACCCAGACGTGCGATATATTAGCTTTTCGGCCTTCTCCACCTCCTTCTCCTGTCTTATCAAGAAGATCCTGGAGGCCTTGCGCGGCAACTTGAGACCCAATGTATGCCGCATCCACGTCAGACCTACGTCGGACTCGCGTCGGAATTACATCAGAGCATCGCCGCGCGATCGCCGTCCCACATCTTACTGGGCAGATGTGCGGACTAGACAAAACAAAGACTGCGCGCAACGCGAGGCCACCATAATTTTCCTCCTGATCTGTCCCTCATCCTCCTCCTTCTCCTCCTCCTCCCGGGTGAGCAGCGCGGCCGCTCGGAGATGGTCGCCGTGGGAGGCGAGCAGGCTGACGAAGAGGCCTCGGGGCGGGGGGCAGGAGGTGCCGTACAGTCAACGCGTAAAATAAAGATGCACGATGCGTCAAGATGCAAGGGCCTTGGAAGGCCATGCCGACTTTCGAGCGGGGCGCGGTCGGCGAGAGTGGCCAGGATGGGCCGCAGGGGAAGGATGCACGGGTAAACTTGGAACATATCTTGTCCTTCCTGAGCGCGTTGACCGTAGCATGTGTGGCGCCTCGGCCAGCGACCAAACGATCGAAGCACACACCAGGCAGGGACGCTCCACCGACATCGTCTTGTCTCGTCTGGGCCGCCGGCTGCGGCCTGGCGGCCCCGGCGGCGACGACGACGGCGAACCGGGACTACTCCGAGTTTCTTAGTAAGCGTCGGGTGGGGGCGCCGCCCCCGCCGGCAGCCCCACATCGACCCCCGTCGCGGGCAGCCGCCGCGCGCCGAGGGCGCTCCGACCCCCGTCGCGTCGCGACGACGAGGCGAGGTTGACCCCCGTCGGGGGGGTACCCCACCCCCCGCTTGTTAAGACACCCAGGGAGTATCCTTCGAATAGGCCCCTTCGCAGCGAGACGCTGCGGCCCCCCCGGGCATCTCTTGATCGTTTGTGAAGGGGCCTGGGACACACAAATAAATAGATACAAATAAGAGGATTCCCCATATTTTCCTATACTTTCTGGGTTCTTGTCTTCACCCCCACTCCCCATATTTTCCAACATTTTCTTGGGAATCGTCGATTCATGGTGTCAGTGTGTTTCTTTCCCTCCTGAGTTTGGTCGCATCAGGAGGGCGGGCAGGGCGTCGCAGCGATGGCCCGTGAGGGGGAGAAGGGTTCTCCTCTCCTGCGCGGGCGGCTCCATCCTGCACGCTGCGGCACTCTGTCGGGGAGACGCGGGGGGGGATGTGGCAGACGACTACCGTGCGCGGGCGGGATTCATGACGCTCGATGCGACGCATCACCACGCGCGACGAGAGAGATGGAGAAAAAAAGAGAGAGAGAGAGATGCCTCCGACCCCCCGCTTACGGGGGGATGATTCCCCGCGCGAGCACATCAAGACGCGTGAACGGATGTGTGGAGCCTCTGACTCTCGATGCATCCCACACATGCACAATGTTAGAGGCCACCTAGATGGGGTCCGAATATATTGGATCAGAGGCATCGCCGATGCGTCGGCGATGCGGCTCGATGTGCAGGCCGACTTTCTCCGCGCTGACTTCGCCGATGCGGCGCAAACTTCGATACATCGGCGTTGCATCGGCGATGCGACGTGATCCTCCGACCTCATCTTCTCGGACCCCATCTCGGAGGCATAGAAATTCGGCCGTTGCCTTCATCAATTTCCTGCTCTGCAGAGCGTCGTTTAAACGACCGCTATCTCCATGGACGTGGCCTGGGTTCCACTGGCCGATTTACCCCCCCTAGATGGGGATATAATAGGCTGTCCCTTCCGGGTCTCGAGGGATATATCCCCAGCTGGGGTGCTGAGATGGTGGGGGTCTGGTTGGGGATGGGCCCAGACTCCCGACGTCATGATTTGTTCATAATGTCGACCCCCTGAGGTCTCGACCCATGACGGTTTCGAGGCCCGGAAAGGGTCCCCGGAGACCGAAAATAGCGAGCAACCTTTCGCGTCGCGTTTTTTAGGAGGAGGAGGAAGGAGGAGGAGGAGGAGGAGGTGGAGGAGGAGGAGGAGGAGGAGGAGGAGGAGGAGGAGGAAGGAGGAGGCGGAGGAGGAGGAGGAGGAGGGGAAGGGGAGGAGGAGGAGGAGGAGGGAGGAGGAGGAGGAGGAGAGGAGGAGGAGGAGGAGGAGGAGGAGGAGAGAGGAGGAGGAGAGGAGGAGGAGGAGGTCGGTTGACCGATACTGATCCGCCTTGGCCTCGTGGGGCGGTCCGGCTCCCTGGGCTCCTGCGCCCGCATGGCGCGCGGAGGCAGACCGGCGCGCCAGCACGGGCGCAAGTCGGCCACGGCCTGGCGCCCCAGGGAGCCCCAGGACGGAGCCAGAGCGCGAACGTTGGGCACTCGAGGGGCCCAGGGCGGATTGGGGGGGGGAGGCGGAGGCGGAGGCGGAGGCGGAGGAGGAGGAGGAGGAGGAGGAGGAGGAGGAGGAGGAGGAGGAGGAGGAGGAGGAGGGAGAAGGAGGAGGAGGGAGAAGGAAGGGGGGGGAATGGGGCGGAAGGAGAAGAGCGCGGAGAGGGAAGGGCGAGGCGGAGGAGCGGGCGGAGGAGGAGGAGCAGGAGGAGGAAGAAGAGGAGGAGGAGAGGATGAGGAAAAGGAGGAGGAGCGCACGTCCATCGGGGGTGCCGCAGTTAGTTCCTCGTGAGCGCCGCGTGGCGGATCGAAAGTTGAAAGGTGTAGCTGCCAAACTGATGCGGATATTCGATCAGTGCAGCTCGTAATTTATGGAAGATCGAGTAGGCGAGCGCCACAAGATCGTGTGCTACATTAATGTTCAGGTCAGTATCTTGATACTCCTCCTCCGTGCCCAAGCCAAGCCAAAGGTACGGAGGAGCGGTGGGGATAAAAAGACGAGGAAGCGCAATCATGTGCAGGAGACGGGGACAGGAGAGGTAGTGGAGGAACGAGTCGGGGGAGTCAGGGCAACCAAACCTGCATGGGAGGGGCGTGAGAATCTTCACACGGTGGCTCGTGATCCACGCCCCTGTGAGCGATTTCATGTGTGCCCATACTTTAGCTGGTGCTGACTTCATCAGTACCGCGCGGAGGGCTAGCCATCTGTTACGTGTGGAATCCATGGAGGGGCAGCTCCCCTCTGGAAGCCATGCAGTCATTCGAGCGTGAATGCGCTCGTGGAATCGATCTGGGTACACAAGTGCCGTGAGGCACTGAATGAAAACACTCTGCGGTCGTTTTTTCCTCCCCCCACGACGACGGCGATCACGACCAGGCCCATCCCTCCCCGAAGTCACGGCACGCGCAGCCTCTCGTGCAGTGGCACAAGCACGGAGCAGAGGGGCAGGAGGGAAGTGGAGGTCACGGCAAGACGTGAAAAGCCTGTAATACTGGAGGATGCCTTTTTCATTCTGCCAGCATGTCGCTGACAAAAGCTGTTTGCGAACTCGCATGTGCAGCCCGTGCAGGTCAACCCCCTCCCACCACCAGTCAAAGCCCTCCTCCCAGCCACGAAGAGTGTACACACTTGCTCGCCATGCATTCGCGAGGGCGTATACTCGGATGCTTGTGATGGTAGCCGCCCTGTGCCAATTCCTCATGCTGAGAAAGTCATGCAATGCGAAAGAACTCGGTGGCATGCGCAGGAGCTTGTGCAGCGCATAATATTCCTTCCTCGTAATTTCCTCACACAGAGGGAAAAATTGTGCAAGATATCCTAAAACTGACAGCGCCGTGCATTCGTATAGTCTGATCGATGCATCGCTGGGGGATCTGCTGCTAGCAATCATTCGGACTCGTGTCCACCATTTCTGGCCTGCCTCATGCCATTGGTGCGACAAGGTGGCTGCTGGTCCTATGAGCACACCCGAATATTTAGCATACCCCGCGATTTTCACATCTGACCATTCAGGCACTAAATTGGAAATGATTGCAGCATATCTTGTGATTTCTGCCTCGTTGCATTCAACTGCTAGCGGAACCACTACGCACTTCGCTGTCTGTAGCAGTAGCCCTGCCAACTTCTTAGCATGTTGGAAAGTATTAGATAGACGGGGCATCAGCTTTATATCATTTAAAACAACTCCTACATCGTCGGCGCAAGCCCCCAGTGAGGCTTCCTCTTTACTGGGGAAGGGGCGGACAAGGTGGCGAAGAAGGGGGTCAAAGCCCAGGGCCCAGAGGGAGCCAGAAAGGGGACACCCCTGGGGGGCGCCAGACGTGATATCGAACATGGGCACAACTTCAGAGCCAACCGACAGATGAGACAGGGCACCTGCAGCAAGGGCATTAATGGCGTAGAAGAAACCGACGTGCATGCGATGCCTTTCTAGCACAAGCCTAAGCCATGTCTGACTCATACTGGGAAATGCGGCTTTTATGTCAAAGCTCAGGAATATGGGATGCGCTTCAGCATGGACGATGCCAGCTCTCCGAGCCGCTGTGTCCATTGCTAGAATATTATGGCCGAGATTCCTGCCTTTCACAAAGCCTTGCTGGACGACATGGGTCCTCTGGACCACAAGGTGCTGCAGCTGGTGATTGAGAGTAGATGCTAGGAGCTTGCTGTCCGAATTTTTCAGCGACAAGGGGCGGGGGGTCCCTGGGTCCCTCACACAGTCCGTGGTGTCCCTCGGGTCCTCGCCCTTGGGGATAAACGCAAAAACGCTGTGGTTGAGGCCTTCAGGAGGGGGCTGGCCGCCCATCAGATAGAGGAGGAGGCGATAGAGGACGTCGAGGCAGGAGGGGTGACCTTTCCACGCTGCATAAGTGAGCCTATCTGGCCCTGGTGCTGATTCTCGTGCTCTTCCTAGACAGACTGCCATCTCTTCCCGCGTGGGGACATGAAAGTCAAAAGCTGGGTGGTCAGGCATATTGGCAGCGAGGAATGACTTAATTTCCTCCGTCGGCATCTCACCTTCTGTGAAAACTGGCTGCCAGTATTCTCTCAACGCATTAGCAATCGGGACAGGGCCTCGGGCAACATCACTGCGGTGACCTGTCTGGGCAACACGTATCCCCTTCAGCACGAGTCGCCTTTGTTTGGGTCTCCAGAGGAGGGCCCTGCGCAAAGACCTCTCCTGCATCTTGCCCCAGTGGGAGGCTTCGCAGGGATTCGAGCGTGCCCTACTGGCAGCTTCGTCTTGCATTTTTTCATGGCGGGCGGCATTCTGAGTAAGGACCTCGTGTCTGAATTCCTCCCCATGCTGGAGAAGAACTCTTTTTCCGACAATGTTTAAAAACTTCTGGCCATACTTAGAGTCTTCCTGCAGTCTGGAGGCCGTGCGCACATCTTGGCGCCAGATGGCTCGAGCAATCGATCTGAGAGCCATGCATCTGGCTTCAATTGAGAGATATTCGCCTCCTGCACTGCGAGAGCAG